CTCACAATTTGATAATTGAGTCTCTGCATGTTGCAAAAAATATGACACCAAACTGAAGCAAATGGAAATTTGCTTGAATTTCTATGCATTCTCCTGAATGATACTAGAAAATTACATTTTTAAAAATTTAGCCTGTTCGAATAGTATGTGCACGTGTATATGTGTGTTGTGTCAGTCACCTTATATTTTTCCCTTTTTAATATTCAAGGAGAAACTTGCAGGAGCTGCTTCTATAATACAACAAAAGAATAAAATAGGTCACTTAAAATAATGAACTGTTATTTTGCTTTAAAATCTGATGGTAATTCATGCCCTAGTTTTTGCTGTTATCATTTTCAACTTCAATAAAATCTGAAAATAATATAAAGTTGTGAGACTGAAAACCAGCAGCTTCCACATGAAGATTTTCCTCTGTTTTATTTTTATTTGTTCATGTAAAAATAACTATCTCAAATAAAATATGAACCAACATAATTTGTATGCATGCCAGAATAATGGGGACATCCAAAAATAATATTTCCTATGAGTATATAAGCTTACTTACCATCTGTCTGTGGTTGTGTTACTTCCTATCAATATAGTATAGAATGTCAAAGTCTGGTAGAGAAAACTATTCTTTAATATCCTTAATTTCACCACATGAAACATTATCATCAACTGCTCGTTTTAAAATGCCCATTTTCAAATGCCCATTTCCCTTATATGCTTCCAGCAAATGGAAGAATCTGATATTGGTTAAGGAAAAGAAATTGCTAACCTCATTATATTAGTTAACATTATTGTTAACTGTATCTGATTAAACTAGTTGCTAATTGTACCTGATTAAACTAGTTAACATTATTAAGGCACCGCCATTATAACAAATTCAGCATTCACCCCAAACATTAAAAATTGTATAAGCACACTAAAAATAATTGCAAGTCTGTGTCACATAGATACAAAAAAAAAGTCTGTATCTCATGTATTATACAGCACACCTTCTTCCTATGTAAAGACATGGAAATTAGCCACTTTTCCTGATGACAAGCTCATTAAAAAAGTTAGAAACCACTCAACTTTTGCATTGTCCTTGAAATATTTTTCAGTCTCACTTTCCTGCGTGATTATTGTGACTTCAGGGTTGTGAGGGAAATGTGTCTGTGCCCACCCATTTCTGCAAAGGCAGAGCCCCCCCCCC